CTTCATTTCAAATACAACCCGCAGCACTCAGTCACGTATATTATTAAATAACTCCTAAACAAAGCGTTCTAGGACCTTCAAAATCAAAATTTTGAAGCCAGCCACCTATATATCAACCCTTGGTGATAGCGGCCATCTATGTAACGTCTAGCTTAGAAGCCTTAGATTCCTCTATCTCATATTTTTTACGCTTTCTGGGTGCTCCGTGGTTTGCGCACACTGACGAGGTTATTTGCATAATTATTAATTCAAGATTTGCTCTCGCATCAGCATCTTGAAGTACTATTAATAGTAGCTTGATTCTGATGAAGATTGTTTCATATGCGTGTAGTGAAAACATTTATTAAACGTTTTGCCGAGGTCTACAAGTGCTGTGTACCTAATAGTGGAGGGATGTGGGTGTACAGCACAGCGTGAAGATGTGTCTTGTTAAGTTTGGTTTGTATCTTACCTGTAACAGTATTCTCGTTATCAGCAGAGATGCGGAAAAACATTCAAGTCAGCATGTTCAGTCAAGTAGCTTTCACAAGAGTAAAATTTTCAAGATTAATCAGCTTTTTTAATGTTATTGTGGCAATCAAGGAAAGCGAAAAACTCTCAAGGAAGATTGAACATTTATTTCAAATGTTGTTTTTAAGGAACTGTGATTTGTTCGAAGATCATATCTCTATAATACTGAATAAATCTTTATTGAAAATTGTTTCCAACATCAATTGCATTGTTTTTAATTTTGTTTGATATTCTGTAAGTACGAAATTACATTTAAACATTTTTTAACAAATAATCTCGTTTCATTTCACCTTTCCTTCTATTAAGAAGGAATTTTCCTATCCATCCAGGATACGTAAATGGGTAGAGAAATGATGGGAATTAACATGCGAGAGTTTACGCATATGTTAAAGCTGTAAAGTAAATATGTAAAGCGAAGGGCTGTAGAAAAGTTACCACGGAAAGTACTGCATTTCCATTAAGATTCTCATGTTTTATATTTACCTAGTTCTGCACACATATATACATGGATATTGTTTTGGCTTATATCAGCAAATACTTACCTTATCGTAATGACTCGATTGTTTGTTGTCATCTCTGAAATTTGTATGTAAAAGGACATACAACTTGTTTTGTTTTGTTTTCAGATTACTAAACATAATTGGACAACGGAACGTTTGTCCATTTTTGTTAATTTAAACAGACAAGTAAAATTCATTGAAAGACATGTTGGTTAATGATAAAAGTTTTTTTAATAATTATAGTGTAGCTGAAAGAGAGATCAGGTATGTGTTATTTTATTTTGTTGTAAGCTGAATTATTTGTAAGTGTGATTAAGGTTTGGTAAGTTGTTAGACGATAGTACTTAAATGGTAAGTACTATTATCTATAGAACGTTATGTGATAGATACATTTCACTATGTAATTATTACACACAGTGCATTTCCATGTACATTCGAAATAATTACTTAAAATATTAACAGGGAGAGCGTTCAAATTCCTGATCTACTCTCATCGCTTGTGCAATATCTATGACTATAGTTGTTTAGTTTTAGTCACATTCCATTGGCAGGTAGAATAATTGGTGTACATGTTAGCTAAAGTAACTGATTTGATAATAATATTGAATATAGATGCGTGAAGTATATATTATTTTACTTCGATATGTAATGGATGTAAAAGAATGTCGAGAAAATGTATACTTACAATGCGATGGGATCCCAGACGCAGCAAAGCATTGAGAATGGTTCCCGCTGATGATATAAAACATGAGCATATTCACGGAAATGTAGTATTCTCTGTGGTAACTTTTGTGCACGTTTTGTTGAATTCTCCTTTTGCTTGTAATGGTAGGATTAGAGGTAAGGTAAGGTCGAGTAATTATTTTGTTAGCAATGCAGAAAAGTCTATATGCCATTCGTTTACCGATGCACATTATTTTTCTATAACTAGGAAACGAAAATGGTTAGTTTCTTTCAAATATTGCTAGTCTAGCGCTTTTTTATTTTTATTTATCTTTAACTTCTAGTCATTTATCAACTATTTATAGTTAAAATGATGGGAAGGAATTCTGGAACTCAAGAAAACGTGCGCAGATGATCTTCTCCCCCATACATCACATACAGTTTTTTCTGGTTTTTTTACTAAATAAATCTACAGCTCTCTTTCTGTGCGATGAAATGGCACAAGGTCAGCTAGTTTTGTATATATTTCGGTTTTTGTCAATATAATATGAATTATCCTCTTACAATTTAATTTTACAAATATATGGCCTGGCATGATTTCAGTGATGTAAGGGTGGCTGAATTATTCATAACAAATTCAATATTTTCTACATTAAAGCTATATTACACGAAATTAAAAACATTAGTAAATGCTTCAAAACTTACAAAAATAAAGCAAATAGTGTAAAATGGGGTTAAAATGAAGAATTCTGCGATTTAGGGTACTTTTCAATATCTATTTATTTTCTCACAATTGTCTTCTAAGAAAAACTTAAGACCAGGGATGTATGTGTATCCAGGGGAAATGGGGATATCTGGGAAAGAAGGCCAGCCATAACCCCTTATCCTTTTGTCCCATGACCGTACTTTAGGCTAAAAGCAATTTTAGCCTAAAATTTTTGTACGTTTTTTTGGGTACAAAACTGCATAGGCCTTCTAAATTTCTCTACCTGTATTAATCTTTCGAAGGGATCTAATATAAAATTATGCCTGACTTGTGAAGTACATTAGATCTTAAAAGTATTTAACTTTCCCGAGTTA